CCCCAAAACCCCAAAACCCCAAAACCCCAAAACCCCGTTTTATAGGATTAAAATTGAGAACTGGTCTTTTTAGGTAATTTTAGAGATCGTAAAATGGTTTATACAGCTCCAGTGTTCTATAAGCCCATTCAAAGTCGGAGAGTTTGAGCCTTAAATGGTCAATAGCGTTCATTGTCTTATACTTGAAATGATCTTCTGAAATTTCTGAGACTTTGACATATCTTGAAGAGAAATGAGTCAAACAAACTCTCCATGCGTTCATCTTATTTGCGATATCAATAGCTTGGCCTGTAGTTGTATGATTCTTTTTCTGAGCATCTTCTTCGAGTCCATTTTCCAGTGTAGCTTCATGAATAAGAAGTGTAATGCCTTGACCATAATTCAGATGGTTCTGGTTAGGCATTGTGTCTCCTGAATAGAGTATTCTCCAATCCTCAGCTTCCACCATGCATCCATAAGCTTCATAACAATGGAAGGCTTCAACACCATAGATTCTCTTGATGCCTAATTTTTCATTCAGAAAGGAATAAAATTGTTTGAGAGCAGGTTCAAAGTTGTCTTCCATATTCTGGATGTTCTGAAGACACTCTTCATAACTTTTCGGAACACACCCTTCTACATTTTGAGGTGTGCACTCTATAGCAACTGCTGGATCATCATTGTAAAAGTATTTTTCAGTCTCAGGATTTAGCTTGAAGGTCAGAATAACTTTAACAAATGGAATATCTTTGATCAGATCTTCTAAGAAGTAAGGCACGCAAGCATAAATAATAAATTCTCCAGGAGATTCTTCTATTTCTGACTGAGAGAAAAGCTTCTCGATAGCTAAAGATCGTTCGTAAAATATTTTTGAGAGTCCCATTCAGTGATCTCCATGCATATGAGTGATCCATACTACTCTTAGGTTCACCAGAAGTTGATCCAAAATGTGTTTATCCTGAAAATGATCATAGAGTTGTCCATATGTTGCTTCAGATCAATCGAGCATAATCCCATAGTTGTTGTCAAACCGATTTCTAGGTGTTGTTTGATATTTTTCTAAAAATTTTGAGATATTTCACTTACCCTCTTCTGATTTAGTTGCCTTATTTCCAGGAATATTCAAGTATATTCAGCTTGATCATCTTGTACCAGTAGGCTTCATTGAAATAGTGCCACAAAAGAGAATCTCGGGCTCATTTGTAAATGTCTTCTCTGGAATGATATTAGCAAGATCGATGCTGTTCAAGTACTCACTGGTAGATCTAGCGTCTTGATTCATAGCTGAAATAGTTTCTATAACCTTCTGCTCCTCTTCATTTATCAAGAATTTGTTAGTAATAACATCTTCATTGAACACGCCTGCACATTTGGCTGGATATAGCTCAATTCTTAACCCAGCTTCAGAGAAAATGATATCAAATTCTTTAAGTTCTTCTTCAACACAGTGAAAATTTTGTTCCTTAAAGTCAATCAGGTTGTCAGGAGCCAGAGGATAGAGTCGAGGACATATGCTCTGGTATTGTTTGGCTAGAGCCATTGATTTGTATCTCAAATTTCTCTCTGTGTTAAGGTCTTTACAGTCAATAACATGTTTGACATTTGGACCGAATTTTCTCATAAATTCCAAGTATTTTTCATTTGTAAATATTTCCCAACTCTGAGTAGAGTGGTAGATTATTGAGAGTCTAGTGGAGGTTGAGATATTCTCTTCGAAATATGCTTCATACTTTGGGTTTGAGACCACAGAATCTATGAAAGTAGAGTCCGGCACGAAGTTAATGATGAATGATTCTGAAGGTAAAGCTTCATCAACAACTTGAGAAGAACGAATGACTGTACCGTCTTCTAAAGTTACATCTTCTCCAAGTGATAATTTCTTAAAATGAACCTTCGGATTTCATCCCAACTTCTTGGCTACTTGTGGTAAGAACTTTCCTCTAGTTTGCTTTGGCACTACAAAGTAGCTAAGAATTTTTCCTCCATTTTTTCCTTGATTACAAGTAGTTTCGACTCGAACTGTTTCATCTTGGAAATAATTAGTCTGATGTACATCAACTCCTATATAATGGTTAGTTCAACTTGTTCAAAATAGTGTGTTATTCTTCCTAAAAATACTTACACAGCCCAGGATCTTGGGGGCATAAATCATCAAATTCCTTCATCTCTTCAGAGTGTTCATAGACGCCTCCTCAACCTAGATCAGTTACTAAGTTTATATACCTTCAAGTGTGCCCATGATATAACTTCAATCTTTTAACTTGTCTGAGAAGCCTTCAGGACCATGAACAGTGAAGCTGAAGGGGTTCCCACTCGCTCTGATACCATCACGAGCGGTCAGATAAAAGCCTGGCAGCCCCAGAAAGTGATCAGGAAGCAAACTTGGAATAAAGAGGGACCTAACCTTCCCAAATTTCATCTATACAGAAAATTCAGCTATGATATTAAGTAAAGCATATTTTATAGCTAATAGAACGAAACTGGCTGGTAAACGATACATGATGAATCAAAAAGCAGTCAGATAAATCAAGAAATTATAACTCCTTTGAGTACTCACTTTAGCTTGTGAGGCTATTCTCTGAATCCCATCTCCAAAGTTAAACATGTATATTTTTTCTCCGATTTGAAAATACACTCATGTTGAGAGATCCCTTTGATTATTATGCAGAATCCTTATCCCGTATTTCATATCTTTATTGCTTTTTGCTCAAAATTTATTAACTTAAAAATTAGCCAGTAAAATGGGGTTTTGGGGTTTTGGGGTTTTGGGGTTTTGGGGTTTTGGGGTTTTGGGG